CACACGCACACACAGTCAATACCCAGGAAGGTACCTGCCTGCCTTCCTTCCGCCTCGCACACCCCCTCTCACCCCTAGAGTTCAGGTCGTGCTTTCCCTTTCCCCCTCGCCCAAAAACCCACATTCTACGTCCCGAGCCTGCGCCTGCGCCTGCATCCTCCATGGTTGCCAGTGAGTAAGGAAGGTACCTACCTGGTGGTCTCTCGTTAGGTGGTCTCGCTCTCTTCCTTTTCCTTCCACTTTCCCTTCCCTTGGTTCCTTCTTCTTCCCACTCCCCCCTCTACCCCCATCATCGTCCATTTCTCCTTCTTCCTCTTTCTTTAGAGTTGCACCTCTCTCTGCCTCTTCTGTCGTCTCTCTGTCTGCTCTCTGCGATCTGCTCTGCTCCTCTGCGTTGCTCTGCGGGTTTTGCTCAAAATCGAAAGCATCCTTTTCAGCGATTGTCTTGGTTGTTGCAAAAGAAATCCGTGCTGCTCCAGCTGCCGCGTTTTTTGTCCACCTCACGTCACCACTGACTAGAGCGAGATCCACGGCCTTCACCAGCTGCGAAAAAAAAAATCTCTGCGCGCAACTTCCTTGTCCGGTTCCTCCCACGTCGTTTAACCCCCCCATTCCCAAATTCCTCCCTCGACACGAAAATTACTCTGTTATTCTTCCTCCTCACCACTCTCACTCACCCTCCTTACGAGTCGCACGACGTTTCTTCCTGGTCATCCGGAAAAAGAGTCTTTTTGTTGGCGCCCAAAAGTAAGTAATCAATGCTCTGTCTCTCTCTACCTCATTGTCTCTTCCTACCTCTCTGCCCATACTCTCCTTCCCCTCCTCCGTCGCATTCTCGCAGTCGCATCCGCAACCGCAGCCGCAGCCGCAGTCGCAAATCGTACGCTCGTGTCCGACCATCCGGCCTTCGGCATCCTCGGCAATCCGCTGCTGAGCACATCGACGTCGCTCGCCTCGAATTGACCCCAAGAGCGGTTCTGGAGGATGGTGGCCGGAGAAAATATGGGATTGCGGTTCTGGGCGCATCATCGAACCCCTCCATGCATCGTGGATCATCCCGGATCGCGGTTGAAGATCGACAACCAAATGCCGAAGCCATTCAGCCTCGACGTGTCCTGCAACGAGTCGTCACCGTCAGACGCCCGAGGAAGCGCAATATGCACCATCAGCAACCAGCCCTTCCCACCCCCGCACTCGAAAAATCCGCAAGTCCCGTCTTACCTCGCCCGCGGCACCGTGTCCCATAGCTTCTTTCAGCCATGGGCAGGGAAGGATGGCCTCGTTACGAGCTTCTGCAATATCGTCTTGACGTATGGCATGACACTTTCGTCCTGAAGCTCAGTTTCAAGCCGAAATGCAGCAACATATTGGAGAGGGGAGAAGATTGGATCTGCAGGATATTGCACACCGAGGACAGAGAAAGTGGCACTTGGCTAGACGGCAATGTCTGGTCTTGTGTCACCAAGACCTCTCGTTGAGAAGATGACGTGTCTCGCGAAAGGCAGATGGTCAGACGACTTCCATCCATTGCATCAAAAGGTTGCCCGGCCATCGCGTCCTCAAGACCTATTTTGCTACACTTCAATTGCAAGCAGGTATGCGAATGAAGGTCTTGCAAGCTCTCTGCACCAGATCTGCCTTCAAGTGTCCTCCTGCGAAGAACCGCCTGGGACATCTCTGCCGCCTACAACCTCGACCCGCATTGTGGACACACGCCGCATGTGCTAGACTTTCGACGGCCACTCATGATGATACCCCCTGACGCAGCTACTGGACGAACAACGGCGGATTGACTGCGACTGCGACTGTGACTGCGACTGTCCACTGCGTGCTGGCCGGATGACATGTGTATATCTGAACGCTAACCATCGCTAGGTCCAATCATTTCGGATTCTTCCTCTGACCTTTTCTCGAACCGTTCAAAGTTCACGTTGGCCACGGCGAAACAGACATAAAAGTCGAATTTGAAGCATTGCTCGGTTCCTTGAGTCGGCGGCTACAGCATTCTTGCACGAACATCCCGCGACATCTCGATTTTTCGTTTTCACAACTGGGCGTGCAGGCGTCAGAGAATCGACTTTTTACCAAGTTCCCTTTGGAGTCCAGGTTTTGCGTCTGAATTCAGGTCGTTCTGATTCGATTCTCGAAACCATCAATCATTTTTGAAAGCGGACAGCTACAGTTCTGAACTTGTCTTTACTATTTCACCACCAAAATGGACGGAATCAACCCCTACAACCCCGCTCAGGGCAACGGTGCCCCCCCTCCCAACGCTAACGGCGATGGCTTCGGTACTCCCGTCTCTGGCGGCATGCCCTTCCCCGGCAACAACGGTTCCGGAGAGATTCCGGGCGGCCAGGCCCCCATCCAGCAGGACGCGAATAAGAACACCCTCTGGTGAGTGATCATTCACGATTTTTGTGTGGCTTTGACTGACACATATAGGATGGGCGAGCTCGAGCCCTGGATGGATGAGAACTTCATCAAGGGTGTCTTCTTGACGGCCACCGGAGAGCCCGTCAACGTCAAGGTCATTCGTGACAAGACTTCGGGCAATGCCGGATACTGCTTTGTCGAGTTCACCTCGTCCGAGGCCGCCAGCAAGGCCCTTACTTTGAACGGATCCCCCGTCCCCAACTCCAACCGCGCCTTCAAGCTCAACTGGGCTTCCGGTGGCGGCATCAACGACCGTCGCGACGACCGTGGTCCCGAGTACTCGATCTTCGTTGGCGATCTTGGCCCTGAGGTCAACGAATACGTTCTCGTGTCTCTCTTCCAGGCGCGATTCCCCTCCTGCAAGTCTGCTAAGATCATGACCGATGCCATGTCGGGACAGTCGCGTGGCTACGGATTTGTCCGTTTCACCGACGAGCAGGACCAGCAGCGTGCTCTTGTGGAGATGCAGGGAGTTTACTGCGGCAACCGCCCCATGCGTATCTCCACCGCCACCCCCAAGAACCGGTGAGTCTGCGTGTCTTGCTAATTTGGAATCATTTGAGGCTAACGAGAGCAGAAGCAACCACGGCGGCCCTTACCAGCAGCACCATGGTAACCAGATGATGGCTCCTGGCCTCCCCCCTCACCAGCAGGGCTTCTACGGCGTTCCCTCGCCCGCCCAGTACGGCGGTGCTTACGGAGCCCCCTACAACCCTCCTGGTCAGCAGATGAACCAGTTCACCGACCCCAACAACACGACCGTTTTCGTTGGTGGCCTGTCTGGCTACGTCACCGAGGATGAGCTCCGAAGCTTCTTCCAAGGATTCGGAGAGATCACCTACGTCAAGATCCCGCCCGGAAAGGGCTGCGGTTTCGTCCAGTTCGTCCACCGCCACGCTGCTGAGATGGCCATCAACCAGATGCAGGGATACCCTATTGGAAACTCTCGTGTCCGTCTGAGCTGGGGCCGCAGCCAAAACAACTCTGGTGTTGGTACCCCCTACCGTCCTGCCCCTCCCCCACCTCACTACTTCGCTCCGGCTCCCGGCCCTGGCGCCTACGGACCTGCTCACTTCGGTGCTCCGGGTCCTCATGGCCCACCGGGACCTCAGGGCCCTCCTGGTGCCCCTCCTCAGGTAAGCATCCATGGGTCACGTGTCAGAACACACCTGGGCTAACATCCTCTGTAGTAGATCGAAGGTTTTAAGGGTCTCCTGGACGGCCCCCTTGCCTCTGGGCTCAAGTTGAGCACTTGAGGAAAAAATGAGAGTTGCCCTCTCATCTGTCTTATTGCTTCACCCTTTCTCGAGCTTCTCTCATCGTTCTTCGTTCGCTGCCGCCGCCGCCTTGGACTCTTAACGCTGCACGATGGATACCTGGGCGAATGACACATATTTCTTTGGACTTGTTTGATGTTAGGCATACGGATAGCGGATACGATTGTGAGACATCACGAGAACGACGATTGCATGCTTTGCGGCCTTAGTTACCTCTCTGGACATCTGGGCTTGTCTTGGGCGTCGGGTTCGGATGGTTTTGCGACTTGGTTGCCCCTTCTATTCGTCTTACTTCCACACGGGACCCCCCCAACAGAGATTTCCTAGCTTTTAGTTTGCTTTTTCGCCACGATGTTGACTTGTTCGTGACCGTTCTGCGTGTGAACCAATCCTGTTGTTTGCTTTGCTAGTTGGTCGGTCATTGGTCTGCAGTTGCGATACCCTTCTGTCATTCACGAATATGTTGCGGCTTGTAGTACTAAAGAGGCTATACGTCCTCGCCTTGTATCATGGTCCTTTCAACCTGTTGTCTGTTTCCCTGGATAAGAGGGTCATGTTGGCGCTATCCGATGGTGATGGTGTAGAAATCTTGGTGATCATTCGGCCAGGGACTTGCAAGTGTGCCTCGCTATACGGTTGGCGAAAAGTAGGTTGCTTGGTGTGGTTTACCTAGTGGCTTCCCACGTTGGGCGAACGGCGTTGGTGGATGAATAGGGATACTCCCACTCTGGGCACAGAGGGTCTATGGGAAATCAAGTTTGTCAAAACATCAAACCTTGTTACTTTGCCTCGATACTTGAGTGACTGTAATGGCTGTGTATTCCAGCCTATCTCTATGGCATGCTCCCTGATGTACACCCCTCTCTAAGTTCCTAGATTTCAGTTTCAACTCATCGGTCTGGAATCTGGGTGCCTGCTCAGCTCAACCTAATATCACCCCAGAGGGGCAGGGCTTGCAGCCTGCCAGTACGAAGCAACACATATGGAGCAACCCCATCGGATCGTGGGAGGCTGGCAGGTTCTGTTGGGCAGAGGGACGTACGAGGGCAGATACCCTTGCGGCGAGGACGCATTAGGTTTTGTGTACGGTGCAGAAGATGCAGCCACTTACACTATTTGATTCCTGACCCAACATCGCCTTAATGGGTGTTTATCCCTGGCATTACTATCCATGACAGATCATTCGTTGCCTTGGGCCTTGCCGGGCAGGTCTCGGAGCCCGCAACTACGGCCTGTCTAGAAAAGAACCCAATCCCCCGTGCCCCGGTCCGCGGAAAGGCCATTTTCTTTCTAGCAGGGTGGTCTACCAGTCGATATGCTTTTACAAGAACCGTGACCTTGGCGGCATTCTTTCCTTCCCACACTCGAGATACTAATCTCCTGCACTCCTTTGGTTCGAGGGCTCTACCCTCTTGCTCTCTCGTTCCGCTCTCTGTTTGCCTCCGAGTACGAATTTTCTGTCAGCCACACGCACACATACAGGTCACATATTTTCCATCCTACGGCGTGTATAAATCCAGCGGCGGACGGGCTGCCTTTCGCAGTTCTATTTTCCCTCTTTCACAGCTTTCCCTTCACACAAGCAAGTCGAGGCAATCTCGCCTTCGAGGTAATTTCATATCAAGTCTTATCAAGTATAACACAGACAACTAATCATGGATAGCACACCGTCGTCAAGATGATTATCCCAGAGGCTAACACGGCGCTGAGTGCCAACATGCAGGTTGCGAGAGCTCTGCCACCTCACCTACTCCCTAAAGCGGAGGCCGTGTTCGCCATGGAGGCCGAGTTTCCCTCGCGCATCGTCCTCGATCTCTACACCAACGACATCGGCACTTTCTCCGTCTGGGGCCGCAAGAACTACACCGACATCACCATTACCCAGACCCCCGCCGCCGCCGCCGCCGGTGAGGACGGCACTGTCGCCATCGCCAACGACGCCGGCGAGCCCTCGTCCGCCATGTGCGGCGAGAACGAGCTTGTCTGCGACAAGAGCCATCAGGCCATGGCCAGTATCTGCTACCGCCTCATCAAGGTCCTCAAGACGGACAAGGCCAACGACATGATCCGCGGTACCCCGCAGGACTACTGTCTCGAGATCGAGACGGCGCGTTGCTGCGTCAGCTGGACCGCCTTCATTGACAAGCCGACGCCCGTCGCGGAGCTCGTCCCCGCCGCGGAGATTGTGTATGATAACTGCCGTGACATCATGCGCAGCTACGTCTCTGGCAAGGTGTATGGTGCTATTGTGGGCAATCACTGCATGGACCAGTGCCTTTCTGAACGGCCGGACGGCTGCTGATAGTCGTATGTTGTCTAACTTTTCTGTTTTTCTCTACCCTGTGACTGATTGCCATGTGAACCCTGCAGGCTAACCTTATGCTGTGTCTGTAGCGGTGACGAACCTGGGAGCGGGGAGTTCTCTGGATCGTGGTTCTAATATTTAATGCCAATGGGGGGAGGGGGGGAGGGGGGAGGCACTCTGGCTTTGGGAAAAGTGCCAGGTCATGTCAGGTTCAATGCACGCTAGCTACTTGACTGCAATAAATGGTGAATTGCTTCGCACAATTTTTCGAGGCCATAGTCAAGAGATCAGTTGACGCTCGGCAATGGCTCGAAGTTTTTGTAAGAATACGGAAGTGTAGTTACACCATGAGATTGCTGCTCCGTTGATGTGCCGCATGTACCTTCCGTATCGGAGTCCACACTTGTGAGCAAGCCGTAACCACGATAACTGGTCATCTAGGTTTCCTCATCCAACTGTACTGGCCACAAAACTTAAAAACAAATCGTGAAAGCCTGCTGGACCAAAACATTTGCGACAACAGCAGGGTTCGAACCTGCGCATCCGAAGATAATAGATGTCAGAATCGTGAACAATTCAAGTCTATCGCCTTGGACCACTCGGCCATGTTGCCATACGTTGAATGTGGAGTCTAGACCGGGTAATGGCGATGTTAGGCGTGGCTCGATGCTGCATGCCGCGTTTTTCGGCAGCAGGTGCATGATGGTGCAGCTCCACGCTCGTGAGCGGTGCGTTCCTGTTCTCAGAGCTCCTTTTGATACAGAAAAGGTCTAAATTACATGTACTTCTAAGAGTGTTGTTGTTGTTGTTGTTGTTGTTGTTGTATTTAACGCCGTGGCGGCCGGGCTAGAGCCCTTACCGCAGACCTCCCGAAGGGTATATGGCGTGGAGGGCCGTGAGCCAAGGCTACCTACTCTACAGTACGTCGTCTCTTTACATCGTCCTCCAAATCATGCCTTGTGGCCACTACGCGTTCTGTCTGTCCCCGGTTCCCGCTGGTGCCCCAGTTTCATTCTTTCCCAAATCGTCCCTTGGAATCGGGAGGTTCTTTGTAGTCCGCACTCACATCTACCTAGGTGTGGATGCTGCTACCGCAGACAGATCTTCTGGAAGAAGTCCGTCACGCGGAGAAAGGCCTCGAAGCCTCGTGGGTCGGTGATTAATCTCTTGAAGTAGGCCTCGAGAGATCCCATAGGACCTATGGGCTCGGGCATACTGCGAGAGTGGAGGGTCGGCCACCGTTGCCTCCTCGCCAGCGTTAGTCGACAGTAGACCAGGTGGTCCACGTCTTTCGCCTCTCCACAAGAGCACATCATTAGAGCGTCGTCGTGGTTGAAACGTCGGTGATATTGCTCGAAGTCCCCGTGACCCGATCGTGCCGCCAGCAGGTGATGTAACGTAGCCCGCGGCAAGGCCAGTTCAGGAGGGCTGGACAGAGCTGCCTCAAGCCCCAAGTCCGCGTACCGCGGCCTTCGCTCTTTATACCACCATCTCCTGTGCTGGCTTTGTAATTTTTCCCTTGCAAGCCGCTTGATGCCCGCTAGTGTTGCCATTTGACCCATCCGCGCCGGCAGTGTCGTTCCTTCTTTGGCCAGCCGGTCCGCGGCCTCGTTTCCTTCGATGCCCTGGTGTCCCGGGGACCAGTGCGTCCGTATATCAAATATCCTGGCCGCTTCTTGGATTTCGAGGAACGCGTCTTGTGACGAGTCCGGCGCCTTGCCGCGGATGCCTTGTATAACGCTGGTGTTGTCGATACATATGTGGATTGGATGACCGCGATTGGTGAGCAGAGCCCTTCTGAGGCCGGTTCGCGCCCCTTCGACCTCGGCGTCGAACACTTCTGCTAGTCCGAGTCGGCCGCACCCTTGCGCTATGCGTTTGGAGTCTCGGTAGATGACGAAGCCGTACCCCACGGCTCCGTTCGTCGCCCTGGAGCCGTCCGAGAAGACGATCATATGGCTTTCCGGTACTGTCTTTAGCCAGCGCTCGAAAGCTTTCGCAGCCTCTTCTTTGCATTGAACTACTATCTGATCCTGTGAGCTTGGCAGGTACTGTGATTGGAGGAACGTTGGTCTTCCGCATCTTGGCAGAAGTTCAGCCGTCCGTTGTAGTCTCGTCTGTTGCTGTCCCTGCTGGGAGAGCCGCGCGACTAGCGGGTGTCGGCGATCAATCCTCTGTAGTCGGACTGCGGCCCGTAAACGGACGCCTTCTAAGGCGACTTTGGCTGACGGTAAGCCGGCGTCTCGGAGGAGGCTACTGGTTGGCGTTGTCCTCCAGACAGGTAGAACGATCCTTGCTGCCGCTGTAATGACGCTGTCGATCTTCTGCACGAGCCCCTTCTGGCCTGTGTTGACGGGTCTTCCTTGGAAAGGCGGACTCGTGTCTGTCTCCGCTTGGCGTCTCGAAGCCGGCTTCGTGATACCTGCGTACCATGTTTCGGCGCCGAAGAGCGCGATCGGCAGTACGTAGGAGACGACGGCTTTTCGCACGGCGGCCGCTGGCAGTCCTCTCTTTGTGTTTGTAAGCTGCCTCAGGTGTTGAGCTGCCTTCTTTGCCGCAGCTACTCTTGTGTCGACGTGGTGCCGGAAGGACAGTCTCTTGTCGAACCAGACACCCAGCCAGCGTACAGGATTTGTCGAGGCCTTGACCACCAAATCCCCCGCCCTGACCTCTGGCAGCTCCGCTGGCTGGCTGTGCTTCCTAGTAAAGTGGATGACCTCGCACTTGCTCGGGTCGAAGGAGACCTTGTTCTCCGAGCCCCATCTGAGAATGCCGGCTGCGCTTCGGTTGAGTATTGCGACGTTGCTCTCCAGGGAGGGGCTGATGGCCAGAGTGGCGATGTCGTCCGCGTACCCGAATCGCGCGTCCGGGTCGTCTTCAAGGATCTCCGCGATGTAGAGCAGAAAGACGATGGGAGATAGTGGCGACCCCTGAGGCAGCCCGCATGACAGAGGAAAGTATTCCGTCGTGCTTTCTTCCAGTCGGACTCTGGCGATGCGGTTGCAGCAGAAGCTGAAGATGAGTCTAATCAAGCCGTGTGGCCATCCCTGCTGACGCAGTCTAATGACGAGCCGGTTCCGAAGGACGGAGTCGAACGCCCCTTTTACGTCCATAGTCAGAAGCGTCGCCGTGAGCCCTTTTAGGAGGGCCGTTTCGATATCGTGGGCGAGGCAGGTCGTCAGATCGACGGCTGACCTGCCTTGTAGAGCTCCGATCTGTTGCGGACTGACGATGCGCTCGACAATCGCCAGAGAAGCCATCCTTCTGGCTATTAGTCTCTCGAGTCCTTTGCCCAAGCACGAGAGGAGCGCGATCGGCCGCCAGGACCCGGGCTTGGAGGCATCCCTGCCGGCCTTCTGG